GGCAAATTTAAATAAATATCTCATATGCATATATCGTTGGTGTATATATCGATGGTTTTTAATTATTTGGAAACACAAATTGCGTGAAATGAATTTGTAGACATACGTCACCGTAACCATGCTCTGTGATACAGCTAGCAACACAACTGCCGATAGGATCTCTCATTCCACCGGTGAGTGTGCGTGGGTGTCCTACACGGTGGTGTAGTAGTACCTGGTGCGCTAGGAGGGCGGGTGTGGCGGGTGTGGCGAGTGTGGCGGTGGCTGGTGTGGCGAGTGTGGCGGTGGCGGGAAGTGCGTGACGAGCAGCTTGGCGGCCTTGGCGAGGTCGTAGGCGGCGGCGCGCACGTCGTGCAGCGCGAGCGAGTGCGCGGGCAGCGAGCACGCCGCGCACACCGCCGCGCACGACGCGCGCAGCGACTCCAGCGCGCACTGCACGTCGCCGTCGCCACACCGCTGCACGATGTGTAACACTCATCAGTATAACGACGTAGTTTCAAGTTTTTTTTATATGTACTAACAAATATTTTTACAATATTGTTGCGATTTACAATGGGATGTAAAGATGTTTATAATTGCAAAACGGACACGATTAACCACAGTTCCTTATGTTATCGGTTCTTAAACAATACTTAAAATGCACAAAATACTACAACAACGGCGTAGTCGAAGACGTCAATATAAATGTAAATTTGAGACTCGTCTTGTAATATTTGGTACACTTTCGAAACACATTTCCAATTTTTTTATTGTTTTGCATTACCCGTCGTCCAAAGTTGTTTGTTTATGTTAGCTAATAAAAAAGCACACGCGAAGTATAAATGATTTTCGTGCATTATTTTTATTTGTCTATATCACTGGCTGTCATTAGTTTTAAAACTAATTAAAATAATCCGGGCACTCCACATGCGGGCCTTTTCTATGGATTTAAATGAACCTCAACACATTTAAGTATGCTACACAAGCCCTTCTCTTCCAATAAAAAAGTAGATACAACGACAAACTTTGTCTCTTTAATACATCTATCAAACCGTATCATCATAGTATAGAACTAGAGGTAGACCGACCGCTGCGGTATGTTACCTGCGGGAAGAGTGCGAGGAGCGCGCGCACGGCGTGCCGGATGTCGTGGCAGCGGTCGTTGAGGCGCGGGTGCTGCTCCCTGGCGGCGGCCCACAGGTTGTGTATGGCGCGCGTGAGGGGCTCCGCGCGACGTTGCACCAGCTCCGCACTCGGCATCTGCTCCTCGCCCTCGCCCCCGCACCCGCCCCCGCCCCCGCCCTCCAGCACGCTCTGTGTCAGAGACCGATCCAGGCCTGAGAGAGTCGTCAGCTGAAACGCGTCCCCTAATGTTACCCTCACGATTATAGCTTTAATAGCGACGCACTATCGGGTCGACTCTGTTGTTTAATCGTCTGTCCACCGGAAACATGAAAGATATTTTCGCACTAACATAAGCATGTTAAACTGTACTAAATAATTTTATGTGTCCGATATATTGGCTTCTTGACGGTTATATATGTTGGAGATGGTAATTTATACGTAAACTTGTATTTAATTTTTAAATAAATTGTAAGATTATTTTACAAAATTAACTTGCAATTTATAATCTGTGTATTGATTACAAGATCCGGAGCGCGGGCGGCCACGACGAGTATTGTGTGACGTCACTTTCAATAAAATAAAAGTCAACATTTTTGTTACGAGTGCAAGTGTATGTACGGTCGGCCAAGAAAGTGATCTACCAGTTTTGCCAACATTTCCCGTGTCTTTAAAGCATCGCTAAAGGCGAATCTTAGAATTGCATACAAACAATAAAAGTTATGCACAATGCTGACGTGTTGTCGTAGAGCACAAATGTTATTTTGACCTTTGCAGCCTATGCATTAGATAATAATTTGCAACAACAAATAGTCTTCACAATATTTCATAAATTTAAAATTTAAGTAGGTCACTTCAAAGTGGAAACTATTGTGTTACGAAAACTCTTTTACTGAAAAAGAATATATCACTTGACAATTCATGTCAAATATTTTCTCGGCATTTTCCGTAGGTATTTTCCTAATTAATTTACACTACAATGCCCCGAAATTTATCCATTAACGAAAGAGCACAAATAATCGCATTACACAATGATGGTTTGAATATTAGTGAGATTTCTAGAGAATTAAATGTGTCGGTAAGTATTATTATGTCTGACGTGAGTTTAATGTAAAATCTCAGACCAAGTCCGAGTGTAAATTTTTATTTTTATTTTTTCTGTTAATATTTTATTTTTGATTATAGAGACAAGCTGTCCGTCTTTGGATAAGACGAGAAAGCGAGGAGGGGAATTTGAACGCTCGGAGTCGTAACGGTCGTAGACCTGAAATATCAGATACTCAGCGAGTCTTCATGAGACGGAGTTATGAGGAATCTGGCTTTATACCAACGCGTTATTTTGCCGACATATTTGACGTGACTCTCCAAACCATTAGAAACCATTTACATTACATGGGCTTACATCACAGGCGTTATGCAAAGAAAATTTATATGACTGAGCTCATAGAATGGCCAGATTAAATTTCGCCATAGAATATTTGGATTTTGATTGGAGTAACACTGTTTTCTGTGACGAGAAAACTTTTAAATCCAGTCAACACGGGCGTCTACACCTTTGGCGATTCAATAAAACGCGATACACGCAAAATCATGTCGTGCCAAATAGAGAATCGGGTCGTATCTCGATAAATTTGTATGGATGGATGACTGCTGATGGTGTTGGAGACTTGACCTTTTTGCCACCACGAGCAACGGCATCAGATTATGTTGATGTTCTCCAAAATGCTATGTTGCCATCCGTCCGGAACGTTTATCCAGAAAATGAAATGCGTCAATTTAATTATTTACAGGATAACTGTCCCTTACATAAACCAAGGGTAACTCGTGCTTGGTTTGGTGCACATCCGGAAATAAACTTTATACCATGGCCTGCAAAATCGCCAGATCTCAACCCTATTGAAAATAAGTGGGGTCTTATGGTTCAGAGATGGTGTAACCGTAATGAACGAACAGCAGAAGCACTACAAGGGCACTGTAATAAAGTTTGGGAGGAAACACGTAGGTCTGATATCTGCTCAAGACTGGTGGGCTCGATGAGGGAACGTCTCCAAGCTGTTATAGAGGCAGATGGCGGCTACACAAGATTTTAAGAATTATAATTTTATAAAAGAATTGTATATATTTTTTAACAACCAAAGAATTAGCATTTTCACTATCTCTTCTAGTTTTAGCCCTTGTCTCGCACTAAGCTATGGGTCGGCGCAATATGTTTTCGTCGCTATTCATTTCTGTTATCCGTTATCTCAGTATATTCAGACCTATAACACGCATAGCTTCTTACGCATAGCATTTCACTACCTACTGATTTTTTTTATTTGTATTAAAATATAATTAATCTACATTCTAATGTAGGATATTTGTAGACTATAAGACTATTTACGATATTCTAACTCTAAAGTATTTAAACATACAAACAGACAGACAGAAAAAAAAAATATTTTTAGCTTCTATTAGTCTTATGAAGGCCGTCCATATATTTTTTTTCCAAAATATCTTACAAATGTAACCTTGTTACATTTTTATTATAGGTATAGATATTACTGTCAAAGGTTACGTCAAAATGATGAAGATAGCAATAATGACGTGTACTTGACGTGTCAAAAAATTAATGCTACGGATAATCAACCTTGTTGTTAGTTGACGTAACACGCGAAATTCAACCTTAGGGTGGTAGACCACTTTCTTGGCCGACTGTACACACACACTTTTTTGGGGAAAATAAAATGGGATGGTAGCTTAATATAATCATAAGTAAGGTTTAAATATACTTTTCTAAAAACAGTCAAATAACCAATATAATAAGCTAAAGCTCGATGGTGAAATTCAATCTTTTGCCTTTTGTTGCCTTTAATGAACCACGCGTGGTCGTGGTATATGGCTTTGACCCGCTTTCATGCAATTGTTAGGAAAATAATTCATTATTCTATTGTTAAAATATTAAATTTCTATTATATAAATTTATATAAAATTAATATGTAAGTACTATTAAATTCAACTAAACAGATCTTGAACGTTACGTTGATATTTAAATAACACTAAAGTGGCAGCACTCAGTAGCGCTGGGCCCAACAATATCAGTGACAAAGCTTTGTATCCAATACAAATGCACATAACATAGCTTGAATGCAGTTTTGAAATCGGTAAACCCGGTAATAATTCCCTGACATTCACGTGAAATTGTCCACACAGCAACACTTAGGGTTATCACAAAATTACAAATATTAGCAATTGATTTTAAACTTTATTACCGACGAAAGTTTAAAATAAAGTTGTGAATTTTGTCAGTTTTGTATAAACTGACTTGTTGTCCTGACTGTTCATTTTGGTAAATGATATTTTTTTTATGCATTAAAAGAAATTGTGGTTGTGAATATACCGGCCTCTACCCTGCTGTTGCTTGTTTTCAATGTGTATTAAATGGATCCTTCTTTGGACGCAAACATTTATACTTTTATCTTCATATTTTATGTTAAGATGAGACTTGTTCTATTTATTGAGGAAGGCTATAGACTATTTAACATTACGCTATAATATATAAGAGTGGAGTAGCGATGAAAAATGTTGCAAAAAATGGGAGAATCTTTTACTTTTTTAAAGCTTTGCTTGCGTGCGTAAAATTCAAAGTATTAGAGTTAAATAATAAATTGAGCGAAAAAATACTCAGTGGACGAGACTATTCAATACCTACAAAGTGAAGACCATCTCTTCAATTTGTAGGTAGAATATCCGTTGGCAAAGATTGCACGCCTGATCATAGTAACTTAATGGTCAGCTTGTTCTTACTTTTTCAATTCAGCATCTTTAGAGGTTTTAATGCGTGATGTACATTTAACTAACGCTATTGATCATTAGATGTCACTACTGTACTTTTAAAACGGGATTTTGTTTTTTTTTTATTTGTAGTCTTGATTTTTTCTACATTTTATCAAACAAAGTAGCTTTCGTTTTCAATTTTTCCAATAAAATAATTTAATGGAGAATTTTTTTGCAAGGTGTGTCGATTCTACTGCGCTGCTAAAGGAAAGGAGAGCAACTGGACTATTCTATGAAGACATGAGCGTTTGTCACAGAAACACCGGTAGATTATTATTTGGTTCCATCTATTGCGCAGGCCCGTGCCCCAGCAGGACGTTGATAAGCTATGATGATGATATAAAAATGGATGCTACTAGCAGATTTTTTATTAAGTTTAGTTTTATGCTCCGGTAAAGCGAGCCCTCGGACCACGTGGGTGAAGCCACGGGTTACGGCTTAGTATATAAAAATTTTACTGACTATTCAAGATCCGTGTCGTTGGTTTTATTAAAAAAACTAACTAATTAATCACCACTAAGTAGAACTACGAATTATTCTTATCAACATTTTCAAAATAACGTTGACATAACAGTATAAGCAACAATTTCTATGGAAAATCAAATCAAATCAAACTCAATATTATTGATTGTAGTTTTCGATCTGATATTTGATTACAGAATAAAAAAAATATATAATTAAATTTATTTGTTATCTATCAATACCAAGTTAGACTACCTACAATATTACAACTAAAAATTAGTAAAATTAATGACAGATTAGTACCTGATGTTTAGTAACCTGCCAGTTATTCTTTGGTCCCTCCCTAGTTTCATACATACTGACCGGTCGCTGGACGTTCTTCAGCGACTGCCTCAGGTCGGCTTCCTCGTCCGTCATGGACAGCTGTTCTGTTTCCAAGCTGCGCCCTCTCTCGGGAGGTTTACTAGCGCCATCTAGGACGTTACTCGCGAAACTGTCGTTTATCGACGCCTGAGAGGCTATACTCTGGTCGTCGTCGACGCTACTCGCCGTCTTCAATACGCTGTTCTCTTTCGTCAGCTGTTCGACTATCGTTTGCAGATTTTTCAATTGGTTCTTCAGTTCTGTTATAGTGGAGTCTCGGCTATCGAGTTCTTTTTTTAACGTATCGATTTCGTCTTTTTTCACTGGCGTTGCACTCTGCATACTTGGTGATTGTGCGCGTCGTAACTCAGTGCTTAACGATTGCTCTACGGGCAGAGACGGGTTGTAAGTGGAAGATACGGTTTCGCCAGGTCGTGGTACTATGTTCGTTATCTGTGAATCGAACATTTTATCTGAGCGTTTACTTTGTGTTGATATATCATAACTGTAGTATAATCTATGCCATACTCTATACTATGATGCTGTCTAAGTGTGTTGCTATGACATTGTTATCCTTGTTACCAATGACATGGAAAATACAATCTTATTTAATTTAAAGTATTTTCTTATTTATTCAACATAAATGGCGACGAGTTCAATGGAACGTTTTCAATTCGATCTATTTAACCCAGCAACGGAAGAATGGGAATATTATCTTCAAAGATTTGAAATAGAATTATCACTACATGGATTAGATGACGTTTCCGATACGATACAAAAGAAACGGAAAAATTTACTATTATCTCGAGTTGGACCAACAGCATTCAAGGTACTCGTAGATTTCTTTCGCCCAGACTCAATCACAACGAAAACATATAATGAACTTACGACTGTACTCAACGATTATTATGGTAAAAAAACATACATTCTGTCAGAACGAGTAAAGTTTTCAACTAAAGTTAGAAACCAACATAGCACCATTTCTGAATTTGTAATGGAATTACGCGCACTTGCTGGTTATTGCGAGTTTGGAAGTACTATCGACGAAAGAATCAGAGACCAATTGGTAATCGGAATTAACAATATCACCTGGCAACAAGAACTTATTAGAGAGCACCCAACAAATAATAGCAAATTATCAGATGTAATTGCCTCAGCACAAAAATTGGAACAGGCTGAAATACAGTCAAAAGAAATAGCTCAAAGTCATGATAAACAATTGAACAACGCTAATGATTTGACAGCATTCAAAGTAAAAGAAGAAAGATATCACAAACATAACATTAACATAAAAAATAAAAGTTCTCAAATAACAAAGAAGTGCATATTCTGTGGTAACAATTTTCATACTCACATGAATGAGTGCCCTGCAAGAGGAAAACAGTGTAACGCTTGTGGTAAACAAAACCATTTTTCAAGTGTTTGTATCACCACCGGTAGAGCAAAACCAAGATATTTTAAAACTAGATTTGTGCAAAGAGAGATGACTGATCATCATAATACACCATCCGATACTGAAAGCACACATACATTCAACCTTAAATATAGAAAAGGAACAAAAATAATGTTACCAGTTGAACTTAACAATACAATTGTTGAGATGCTGTACGACCCAGGTGCAGTAAATTCAGTCATCGGCAAAACATTATGGGAGACAATAGGTAGACCACAATTGCAAGAATGTCAGGATTTGATTGCATACACTGACATCAAAATTAAAACCCTTGGTACCTGCAAAATAACTGTGAAAGCATTTAAGCAAATCAAAACAATAGAAGCTTACGTAACAGAACATAATGATATTCCTTTATTTGGCTTACAATGGTGTTTGGAATTCAACTTACCTATGCCAGCTGGAGCTAAACTATGTAACATTCATAACGATTTGAACGAAGATCCCAATCACAAAGAGATTAAAAAGCTTCTCGACGAGTTTAAGTCCCTATTCGGCAATGGTCTTGGGACGATAAGAGGTCATTACGCGAAAATTTATATACCAGATGATGTCAAACCGAAAGCATTTCGACCACGACCTGTACCATTGGCACTTAGAGAACAGGTTACAACAGAATTGGAGAGATTAACACAAGAAGGTGTCATAGAACCTATAGATACGATGAATACACCTATTGAATGGGCATCACCAATAGTAATAGCAATCAAAGCAAACGGGAATATACGAATTTGTGCAGATTTTAAAGTCACTATAAATAGACATGTCCAAGTTGACGATTACCCACTACCACGATTCGAAGAAATAACGTCTAAACTAGCTGGAGGACAGTTATTTACAAAAATAGATTTGAAAGATGCCTACTTACAATTGACAGTACACCCAGATTCCAGAAAGTACCTTACGATATCAACACACAAAGGATATTTTCGATACAAACGTCTACCATTCGGTATATCATTCGCACCATCTGTTTTTCAGCGAATTATGCATCAAATACTATGCGGCCTCGACGGCGTGGTATGCTACCTCGATGATATTTTAATTACCGGGAGCCATTTATCCGAACATATAGCTAGAGTTAAAACAGTTTTACAAAGATTAGAAACGGCTGGCATTAAGAGTCAAGCAACAAAGTGTTCGTGGCTCCAGAAGAGCGTAACTTTCCTCGGACACCAAATCGATAAAGATGGAATACACCCCACTACAGAGAGAATTGAAGCGATCAAAAACATGCCTATTCCAACAAACGTTGCAGAATTAAGATCTTTTTTAGGTTCAATTACATATTATGGACGGTTCATCAACAAATTACATGTAAAATGTACACCGCTGTATAGACTCCTAAAAAAGGGACAAAAATGGCAATGGAACAAAGAAGATGACCAAATTGTCGACGAGTTAAAGCATATTCTAACATCGAACGACACTTTAGCCCATTACGATGATTCTATACCAATTTATCTTAGCAGTGATGCCTCTGATAAAGGGCTAGGAGCTGTATTATTTCATAAATATGAAGCAAACATGAAACCTATTGCATATGCATCCAGAACGTTGTCTGAAGTGGAACGACACTATTCAACGATTGACAAAGAAGCATTAGGTATAATTTACGCAGTTACAAAATTTCATCAGTATGTCTACGGTAGAAAGTTTACATTACTAACTGACCACAAGCCATTAGAAAGAATATTTAGTCAAGAACGTGAAACGCCCAAAATTGCAAGTAACAGACTTTTGAGATGGGCTATGATTCTTAACAGTTATGATTTTACAATAGAATATCACCCAGCCAAAGAAAATACACCAGCGGATGCACTTTCCCGACTACCACTACAAACAGTAACAAATAACACACTAGAAGAGAGAACAGGATTGCCACAATTTGCTCATTTGCTTCACCTACGATTGGAAAATATTCCTATAACACGACATACTCTTAAGCAGGAAGTAAAAAAAGATACAATCCTGAACAAAATAACAGAATTTTTAAATACTCATTGGCCAGAAAAAAAAGAGTTGCACGAGGATTTCTATACATATTATGAAAAACGAGACGAGTTATCAGTAGAAGAAGGATTTGTCCTATGGAACGGAAGACTGTGTATACCAAAAAGTTTACACAAACAGATTTTACATATGCTACACGATGGCCATTCTGGGGTTAATGCAATGCAATCATTAGCACGATTGCATGTATACTGGCCGAACATTGATAAGGACATACTAGATTATACACGACGGTGTTCCTTATGTCAAACCATTAAACAAAATACCAACAGAGCTCCAATCTACTCTTGGGGAGTACCACCTGAACCTTGGTATAGACTACATATCGACTTTGCTGGCCCCTTGCTTGGATACATGTGGCTTATTATCATAGATGCTTATTCGAAGTGGTTAGAAGTTATTCCTATGAAATCGGCAACATCCTTGGCGACTATAATAAAACTAGATGGCGTATTTTCAACTTTCGGTATACCTAAGTATATAGTAACAGACAACGGACCACAATTTATTTCAGAAGAATTTAAAAAGTACTGCAATCGTATCGGAACAACACATATCAAAACAACACCATATCACCCCAAAACAAATGGTTTAGCTGAACGAGCTGTACGTACGTTCAAGGAACATATATTAGCAGCCGATAAGAGCATTGATTTATATAAACGTTTAAACGCCTTTTTGCGAGCATATAGAAATACACTCAGAAATTCAACTGGTCGTACACCGTATGAAGTAATGTTTAACAGGAGAATGAGAACAAGTTTTGATTTGTGGAAACCAAATATCACTGACAAGTTGGAGAAAGTTCAACTACAACAACAATTACAGCCAATACGTAAAGAAGTCATCCCACCTTCATACAAAATTGGAGATAAGGTGTGGATAAATAAACCAAACCAGAAAGGATCGGAACCCGGAGTAATAATAGAAAGAACTGGACCGTATTCCTATATAATCGAAGCAAGCGGCATTAGAAAACGGAAACATGTCGATCAGATTAGACCCAGATACAATAATGATATAAAGTTAGACAATAACCCTCAAGCAGTGCAACAATATAAAAACTTTACATATTATAAACTAGATCCAGTCCAAGCTTCGCAAGATGGAGGGGATAATAACAATAACCCAACGTGTAGCCGTTACTTGCCTACTAATATCAGAAACGACCCTGCAGCAGCATCCACCCCGTCTGTAGCACCAGCTGCTCCGCCCAGACGCTCAGAACGCTTACAGAGACAACGATTGGGGGGGAGTAATGTAGTATAATCTATGCCATACTCTATACTATGATGCTGTCTAAGTGTGTTGCTATGACATTGTTATCCTTGTTACCAATGACATGGAAAATACAATCTTATTTAATTTAAAGTATTTTCTTATTTATTCAACAATAACAATTTATTGGTAAATAGAGATGTTATGGGCTGACTTAGTTGAAACGTCGGGCACATTAGGAACCTTTGTATCTTTTATGAAATCTTCAAATAAAACATACTTACTTGTTAAGATCATTCAAGTATTACGTACGTATTAAAAAGGGGGAGGGATACATATTATGCTTATTTATGTGACTAATTAAGATAGTAATTATTATTTATGAATTCTGATGTTTTACGTTCAATTTACAGAAGCATATAGAAGGAAGGGAAGTTTTGCTTTCTCCAGCTAACAATGTAGAGATTAAAAATTACTAAAATTATACTTACATACCACTTGGATACAGGGACGGACAAAGGGCCCTAAACCGCCCCATAAAAACACTATACGCTACGGTACTTTTACATTAGTAAAACAGTTTCTACACAAAATGTAATTTTCTTCAATAATTCTTAATAGGCCCCTGAGTAGTATAGCCCAGGGCCCCACAAATTCTCACTACGCCCCTGCTTGGATAACCAGTATGATATAATAAGCCTTATTCTATTCCAATAATCGACCAGTACTCACGTCGAGGTGTTCAGGCAGTAGCGCGGCGTAGTCGTCGTCGGAGGCGACCGAGTCGTAAAGTGGTTCGTCGTCAGACACTTGTGATATGAGCCGTAGGTGGCTGCCCGATGATAACGGGTTCGATGCCCCGCCGAACGCTGCCGTTAAAATAGTCGTAACATTTATTACATTGTTAACAAACCGCTTATTTAGTCCATTTAAATATTAATTTAAGTGAAAAGTTTTTTTTACTTTTTAAAATGCGATACGTTAGTTTAGTTCTCGATGGCAGATATAAAAAAATGAGCATGAATCTATAAATATTATAATACAAATAACATTACTCAAATCTATATAATTTTTACAAATTTTGCATTAGCTACAACAAAGTAAAAGAAATATTACTAATAGGGTATTCTACTCTGTTTGAAATAATACTTGTAACTGTTTCGAAAAAATAAATACATTTTCTTGCCGTAAAATAAATAAAAATTTAAACTTTTTTTATACCCGCGAAAACGCTGTCCGACATTTTCATGACGTCATTCTGATACCTATGTATTGCATAGAGTAGAAGCTTAAAAGATGTCAATAAAACAAGTAGAATCTAACGATCGATTACGAAATAAAAATATATAAATAAGCTAAGATTGAGCGCCATCTAGGAATTTAATTTATAATTATAAAGCATATATTTACGCCTAATCTGACAGCTATCGCCACAGTGACGTCACACAATGGCGGATCGTGTTTCAAATCACATGACACACTGACAAAAAAATCAGGACTTTTAATTTTAAGATTATCGTGCGATTTTAAGACTCAAAATCAGAACTTCTGTTATTACGTAGTAAATTTTATTACGAAGTAAATTTTAGTTTTTATGTAACTTTATTTGCACCCTATTTTGCGACGCAGAGTAACAAAGTGTTAAGTACCTCTTGGTTGTAGCGTAGCAATGTGTTGCCGCCTCGTAGCATCTACGAGCACATCCCGTAGCAACGTAGCCATCTCTGCCGTAGAAAGTCGCGCCAACTTCTGCCGGCCCTGGTTACGGGGCGCGGACAGGGCGGGGTTCACGGGTAGGAATACTACCCCGCAACGTTCCAAGCCCGTCGCGCTCGTCTGCCATACTGTCCGAACATTTTTGTGCTGTTTCACTTCTATTTCGAATGGCATAAGGCTCATGTCATATTGATTTTTGTGGAGATTTAATTAACAGTGCAAAAATATGTTAGAATGCCATTAAATCAATAACCTTATATTATATCACGTTGTGATACTTAACCGCAGGACAGAGAAGGAATATTGTAATAGAAGTCAAACTTAATGTAAATGCAGACCGGAACTAAACCAGTTGCTTTACTCTACTGGCTTTCATTTGATTTAATTAAATGCATATAGCATTGAATATAATTGAAGCTATCGAATAAGCTTTCAAGGGTGCGACCACCTCATTCTCTAGCTATCATTCTACCCATAGGATACGACATGATGTCGAGATATTATATTGATACTTCGTTTCATTTTACTACTTCGTTTATGATTTCTTTGTTTTTTACAATCGAGCGAAACATAAATAATGATTACATTGGATTGACAGCAGTGTTACAAACTTACTCGTTTATCCACCAAAAGACAAACAAATTACATGTCAAAGTAGTAACATGAAACGATATACTGTCATGATTGTTATGATGTATCCCATGAATCATGGCTAAAAAGTGAGGCGGTAACACCCCTGGTCTGTTTATACCGGCTATGGAACGGCGAACAAACTTACTAGCTTCAGTTTCCCGCCGGTCTATTTCATCGTAAATGTCCATCACTAACTCCTCGAACAGATGGTTGGGTAACTGTAAATACAAAATAATATTATTTTACATTATTAGACATATTTCGCCATTAGGAGTGATTAGAGACAACTCAATATCAAAACTAAGTCGGAGCTATCGATATCTTTATCATTCTAGCAAGTGGCGATTCTGAGCGACAAAATAGGATAAAGCGACGTCATACGTAGTAAAACCATATGGGGGTAAAAGGGTTTTTATAATAAATGCATCAAGGCTGTCAAAATCACAACAAACCTTACATCATTAAATCAAAAATGTTTAAATGGCAAAATGATTTCCATTATCACGAATATGAAAAAGTAGTCTTGGTTTAGAAGAATTAAGTTATTCAGCTGGTGACTACTAGGCATATTCAATTATAATTTAATACAAACGATAAACTTACATTCACTCATTCTAACATACAATACACTTGGTTTTTGCACAGTTGAGAGCTGATAGAATACTTTGTAAATGTTAAAAGTTATTTCCTTCTTTCTCGTTCTTTTTTGTATTTAATTTCTTAGTCTGCATAAGCTAAAATGTATCTCTTAGAGAGCACAGACTCTGGACATATACGGCAACCTAATTTGGGAGACATGGTAAACTAACAAGTTACGCTATGTAGTTACTCTATAAAGACTATTAATATTTAGACCAGAGTGCAAGCGACAAAGTAAGAGAAAACTTAGTTATGTTAGGTCCCGGGTAGCTCAGGTTAGAGCAGCCATTCGGATCGCGAAAGGTAATTATTTTCAAGAATTTTTAATTAAGAATTAATTTAGCATTGTGATCGCAAAATTCATCAAACCAAATATATTAATAAGAATAATAGTAACCAGCTGCAGCTTCCCCCTGGCCGCCTTGGCCACGTCCGTCATCTCGTGGGCGTGGTGCGCGCGCGGCGCCAGGTAGTGCGCGCCGGCCGCGTGCGCGGGCCGCTCGCCCGTCAGGAAGTATATCATGCGGTCCGTCGCCTCGTACACCACCTCCGTCATACGCTCGCACAACTCCACGTGACCGCCTTGTCTGACGCACACACAAACACACACACACATATATATACAGTTACAGTGCCTAAACTGAATATGGCAATTTTCACACTCGATGGATCATCACAATGATATTGACATGTCATATTCATTACATAGGTTTAAGAATATTTTATTTAATAATATCAGCCCTGAACTACAGTCTGTCTTGATGGCTGTTAGTGCTAATGATACTCTGTAATTGTATCTGTTCGGTCTGATATGCCTTTAATTTTATCACTATTATTGTTTTCGGCTTTTTTTTTATATACCTGCTCGGTTCTCAATATCCTGCAGGTGTAAAATAGCTTCTGTACTAAACATCATCTAATGGTTATGTTTACTTTGTTTACTATAGGTACATGTTGTAACAACCTGTAATTAAAACAGCACTATTGCAAGTTACTGATGTAAGCTTTACTGTTAAATGATTGTGGTGTATGTTTTGTTGGTTGTTCTTAAATAAATAAATAAATTTGATTTGATTATGGCTACTAGCCAAACGGGGTCGATATTAAAAACGTACAAGGCTTACAGTGTTATTAATAAACAAGGTTTAGCGTTTACGCTGAGACCGTAATAAGTATCTAATAAATAATGATTTAACTGGCTAGAGCATCTCATCACTGGAGACCAAAAGTGGGTTATATATGTTAACAATACATAGAAGCGCCAGTGGCTAGGCCGCAACGAACCGGGCAAACCAACGCCAAACAAAGATAAGATAAAAACACTTTATTGTACAACACACAACCTGTACAACAGGAAGGACGCAAAAATCTTATTCCTCGCAAGGTGATGCTCTCGGTATGGTGGGATGTGCATGGAGTAATATACTGGGAAATTCATAAATATGCGTTAATTTACTCTGACGCTAAATCTTGTTCATTAACAGTATTATTAATCTTTGATGAATATTATTTGTAAACCAATTAAAAAATATTTGTTGTAACATGGGACACACTACGCATTTAAAACGTCATTCATACAATTAGATAATTTACAACTCACTACAATATTAATATTAATAAAAAAATAATTTAATTTCAAGTCTTATGTCAAAAAGGCTTATCAGTGATTAAAGATGAAATTTCATATTCAGACATTTCATTTTCGAGACTTCATTGAAAATTGAAGTAACAATGAACTATTAATATGTAATCCAAAGGGTAATAAAAAATAAGTTACATTACATAATAAAGAAACCAAAAGTAAAAAAAATATGTAGAGATATATTATTATCATACTAATGTCTAGACAGAGTGGGTGTGAGTCGTCATATCGCCTTATTAACGAAGCTTAAATGATTTGACCTTTCCTTAATGGCATAGTCAACAACAAGCAAACTGAAGTGATCTGTGGTTATGATTATCTCAAATGTGGTAAAGCAAAATAATACATTAACGTATATCTGCATATTTGGATATTGTAATGGTATGATTTATACGACTACTGTTTTAAATATGGTATGGAATATTTAGACAATTTTGAGATATAGTTAAGTGTACTAAACAAAGCATGAGTTGCCATAAATGCACATGCACATTACACATATTTAAGGTATTTTGGTTACTGACCTAGCGCATTCGGCAGGCGTGAGGCCGGAGCTATCCCGCGCCGTGGGATCCGCGCCCCACGCCGCCAATAACTCCGCCTGCGCCGGCTGCCCCGCGCGGCACGCCACGTGTAAACATGTAGAGCCTTTCTCCTGTTGTACATTTTTAAATATAAAGTCAAATACATTTGATTGAAGTTATTACAAAGGTCTCTGTATCTAATATTTGAGAGAAAATATGTTACTAAAATATGCTATGTCTATAACACTAACAACATGAAGTTATATTTGAATTAAATTAAATAATTATAGTAATTTTATAATATACACTTGGCACTTCCATACCTGATTGTAGTAATTGGGATCAGCACCCTGTGCAAGCAGTCTCATAGCTGTGTCCAGAGAACTACTACGGACAGCACTGTGCAGCTGCCGACCGAGTTCACTGGGAGGCTCATCACGACGTGCGCGCAATACATATGCGAGGCGGAGGTGCTTTGCTAAGATGAACTCTGATTTTGTTGGGCTAGAAATTGGTAAGGACATTTGATGTAACAGAGAAAAATACAATTAAGATGATTACATTTGACTTGATTTGTTATTTTGATTTTTTAAATTATATCTATTTACATTACAATAGAAAAGCAGATATGGAAAGAAAATGTAAAATACATGTTTAATTTTTATTTTATGTAGCAAACTAGTATCCCACATATAATTTTTATTTCTCATGACAGTATTGCATATTCTGCATCTTCAGTATATATAAAGCTTACATCCTTTAACATCGAACACAACAAACATACAACATTGTAAAGAGCATAAAACACAAAAAAAAAAGTTTAACCCATTTGATATTGAAATCTCAACTGTTGGACAATGTCATTTTTATCCAAAAAAATGGTTGGATCAAAAATGTAAATTGGCATCCTATTTCAGAAAATAATTTCAAATGCTACCCTAGAAATTAAGAACAGGACTTAAGTTTATAAAAAATAGGTGCTACTAATAGTCAGTAAAATGCATGAATTTAATAATGAAATCCAAATGTAACTTACTGTAGTGGGTCTTTAGGTTGAGGTTTCTTCCGCAAATGTTTAGGTGCTGATGTATCAAGTAAAGAATGTTCCCATATGCTATTCACATTCTGTGCAGTTAGTGCTTGTACCATCTGCAGTTTAAAAAAATATATGAGTATTATCAGATAATAATGATATACCTGTCTTTTATTCTATAAATATTATAATTGTGAAAGTTTCTTTGTTGGGATGTTTGTCTGTCAATCATACCAAAACTACTGAACGGATTTTGATGAAATTTGGTATACAGATAGGGTATTAGTTGACTTAGATAATAGGATATGTTTTAATCCACTAAACTAGTGGAAGTAAATATTTAAAATGATTGGCATACCGCTAGGAGCGAAGGCGGCCAAGAACCTTGTCTCAAGGATTTCACATGAGATATATGCCGTCCCATGCTGCGATGAACACTGCAGCATTCTGCACATAACAGCAGTCCACGATTTATAGACGCCCACGACGGATCTACGATTAAACACCACACTTAATACATCTTAAACAATACCACGGCTAGCACAATCAAACTATTTCTAAAACTAGAACATCGCTTTGACCTGATGCCCCGCAATCAGCACAAACTTCTAGCGTTGAACGATGTTTGGATCGTGATATCATCATATTTATATAGATATCTGGAAGACACTTTTTAAAATAAACGCAACAGCGTTTCAACTGCGCTCTATTATCTGAAAGACTTTATTTGATACAAAAATAAACCATTTTACATAAAACTGGGAAACTATGAATGAAACAAAATGTCAATCAAAATAAATTGAACTGAAACCATAGAGAAATGTAAAATGACAGCTTGACAGCTTATAAATAATAGAGATAAAGTTCTAAGACAGTTGAATAATCGGTATAAAATAAATGAAACATCTCTAAAATAAAAAATTAAACCGTCTATGCATATATAGCATAAACATACCTACCTATGCTTACACGATTTATTTTTCACAATATCGCAGATTTAATAAGCAAGGCAAGGTATTATTTGCAAGACAGTGCTATTTATGATGATAATAAACATTATAACATATAATTCAAACAAATACGACGATACATGAATGGTAAGCTAGTAGATTATTCGGTGAATTTAATCTAAGATATTGGGTGGCTTCTTTTTTCCAAATCCTCTTCTACATCTTTATGTTGACTCGAAATTAACAAAAACAATTAAAACTTGGTTTGAATTGGAGGCGTCCTTAAAGTAGTAAAAATGCTACACTGACATAATTTATTTGAACTTGGGTAGATTTTATTCATTTCGCTCGTCGATAATGGAAGAAATTATAATCAATGCATAGAAAGCAAATTATTGTGATTCACCAACGGAAACCATCCTAAAACCTCATAGAGCGCTAACGTTCAATGTGAAAACATGAGTTTCCAGTTTGAGAAATAAATGTGAATGAATTATTATATCCTGGACATAAAATATAGGATATATTTTCAAATTTGGAATTCGCATTTACAGCACTTTTGCGTTTTCAGAGCAACTCAGGCATGTCGAGCCAAGACCAAACGCTTTGCCATAGAAACTCAAATCAATGTCATCGTGAATAGAGATGTATCGCTGTTTCATAGTGAATGTATTGGATGTGAACTAACGTGATTCAATTCGGCTCTACATTAGTAGACGTGAGCTTTAATATTATGAAAGTAGTTAAACAAGGAACAGTGTTCGGGCTATTCTTACAATTATTTCACAAAACTTGTAGGCATGATTTTCGGTTTTTATAAAAGGTTTTAGAAGTCACTCAAATTTCTTGCTAAATTTAACACAATAAAACTCGAAAAGTAAGCCGCACGGGCATTCGTATGATAGTTGATCTACCTCAAAACCCAGCGCTAATTTGTCAATCATCAAGCGGTAATTCTTGTTGTCAAAGTTGTGCTCAGATAATTCATCTTAAAGAGTAAAAGTATATAATCCATCTAAACTTTTTGATAAGATATTGCTTCGAACGCCCCCTTTCGTGAAGCCTGTGCCTACTTAGTTTAATGGTGGCTCTTGCTTTTGAAAAAAGGTATCGAGAAGGCATGCTCGTGCCCACAATAGGAAAATGTCTATAACGCTTTATTTAACGCTTTAATTAAGCACAAACTATGTTAAAAAAAAAACTTCAACACAAATTCAAAACTATATATCGTTGCAACCTCCATACTCTAGAGATGCGGTTTCATAAAAATATCGATAATTCGTTACAGGACGATATCGACTTTTCTACATATCGCTTCACAAAGTCGATATATCAATACTTATTGATATATTTTTGGATCTTAAAAAAATTTACATAGTTTGTAAAAACCGTAAATGAATTACGTTATATTAATATTAAATTTACATAAAAAAAGTCAGCCAATAACTGATGACGGCTACTAAGCTTGTTCCTATTTAGTATAATGTTGGATTCTGACGAACATGTACATGTACAATAGGAAAATGTCTTATCCAATTGTTATCAGGTGATATATTGCGATTAGATTGTGAAATCATTCATAAATTATAATAATTAGAAACTACTACAAATTTCAAAGCAAACATTAAAATAATGCCACATGTGTTACTAATCTAAAATCACATGTGAAGATACTCTTAGGATTTCATTCAGTATTAGGTAAGATATCTTGGTTTTTTCGATATCGATATTGCTGTTTTTGATATCGATATGTTTGTTCGTCAACATATATCAATCAACTTTTCGATATATCGTTGCATTCTACCCTACTCTTTGGTCTGTCATCCTGTCATAGGGGTGTCCACTTAAAAAATATATTGATATAAATACTCGATATAAAATATCGGTAACTGACATCGATGTTTTTCGATATATCGTATAAAAACATCGATATTTTTTAAATATCGAGTATTTTTTTGAAAATTTCAATGTTTTCCTTTTATAGGCCCACTTGCAGAAAAATTTCCAAAATCTCGATTTAATTAAATCCAGACTTAGCCTTAAACTCGACTTAACTTAAATCTAACTAAGTTATTTTACAGATCCTAAAATCATGACCAGTTTAACTAAACCGAGATTTAGCATATTATTCGTTCACCACTCAATGCTTATGTTCCGTTTTTGATGAAAAAACTACAGTCCGGCGCCATAAAATCAGTTTAGAAAAACAAACGTCATCATAGTTTTTATCAAAACTCTATATCAACATACATTTTTTTGAAGTCGCCGCGCCATTTCATCATTCATAGTTATTCATAAAGTAGAGTAAAACTGTTTATTAATAACTCAAAAATACCAATAAACCGTTTGTACTGCCGAACTAAAATAATGAAAAGATCCAGGGCACCTAATTTCACAATTGCTGGAAAAATGCACCTTTTAAAATAAGTAGAGAAATATCTTATTATAGAAAACAAGAAAACAGATGGGGCTACAACAAAAGATTAGCAATTGGCTTGGCAAGACTTAGCTACCGAGTACAACTCGCCTTAGGACGTCTCAAAATTTGATGTCATGTTATAAAAATCAAAGTGAAAAATGTTGTAATGTTAAAATTTACTTTAGCTTTTATTGTCATCATAAGTCAGCTGTCAAAGTTATTTAATCGATTAGATATTGTGTTATAAACGTATCGATATTCGATATATCGAATAGAAAAATATTTTACAATCATCGAAACAATCCGATATATCATATGGAAACATCGAGTACTTTCGATATATCGATGATATTTGATTTAACATCCCTATCCTGTCATGCACAAACTGGAAGTTTGATACACGTCATAGTTTGCAAAGGTTATTTTCTAAAAATGAAAATGAAGCTACCTTTACTTTTTACGGTAGTCTTATACTTATCAGCAGCTTTTGCTGATCAGGAAACGTTAGTTTTAGTTGACAATCTAAATGTAAGAGAGACTCACTCACAGTTTTTCAAGTCTCTTCAAGGTAATTATAGCGGCTCTAAAGTAGATATTCAACCGGCTTATCAGTAAGATTGTTAAACTAAGAAAATGTGTTTGGTTCTGCAGATCGAGGCTACAGTCTTACGTATAAACTAGCTGATGATGCCAACTTAGTCCTCGCCAAATATGGACAGTATTTGTACAAGAATTTGATTATTTTTGCTCCTTCTGTAATCGAGTTTGGAGGACAAATCGATTCAGAAGCTATCACTAAATTCATCGATGATGGTGGTAATCTTCTTATGGCCGGCAATTCTGTAGCCGGTGATGTATACAGAGAGATAGCTTCTGAATGTGGATTTGAGGTAAGTGTTACTTTGGGTAAATATGTAATCAAAACAGATAACTCCCAAAGTATTCCGGCTTACTTCCCTGACATGCTGGCATCATTTGACCACAGAAACCTACATGCTATCTTAATTTCAGAGACCTGGCTGAAGCCATGTTTACCTTCTGCTTATACATTACTAGATTTTGTCTCATACAAAGTGATTGTATGGGCTCAGTAGGTGTGGAGTTACTATTTATCTTAAAGAATATATTCTATTCTCCATCATTAGTACCTCTATTCAACCACCTCTGCCCAATGCTGGCAAGCATCTACTGGTTGATATCTTACTTTCCCATGTAAAAATTTTTCTTGTAGTGTACTATACTCCTTCTCAAAAACATAAATTACTTTGCTAGCTTTGAAAGCCTCTTAGATGCTTTAATACTTACCTACAGCCATTCAATTATTATGAGGGATTTTAATATCTGCCTTCTCAAAAGTAATCATCATAGTTTGTCCCTACAATCCATAATTAACGCTAACAGCATGCATATTCTGCCACTCATCATTTTCCACATTCTGCTCCCTCTCTTCTTGATTTGATAATAAATTGTTTCTTTTTCTCAACATGTTGCTAAATACAGCCAATATTTGGCTGATGCAGTCTCATATCATGACCCCAGGTACGTTTCCTATAAAATTCATCCTCCAAAAGTTAAACCCAAAGTCATTCTTCTGCTCAACTTTAGTGGTATGAATCATGAGGCATTTTTTCATGATGCACATGACATTGATTGGTCACCTGTGATCGAAACGGAAACTGTAGATGAACAAGTTGTACTCTTTAACAATGTCATCACAAAATTGTATGATAAACACACACTATTTCGAGTTATTAAACTGAAACCATGGCTGACCAATGAGATTAAATTGCATATGCACAAAAAGGTTGTAGCCAAAAGCATGTTCAAGTTAGACCCTACAGACTATAACAAGGAGATCTACAACAAAATATGGAATTTCTGCATAAGGTGTGTAGGGATGCATTGCTTCACCATATCCATAATTCTGTAGAAAGTGAAGAACCAGCAAAAGTCTGGAAATTTCTTAGATCTCTTGGGATTGGTAAATCAAATGATGATGTCATTCCTACTAATATTCATATACCACTTAGTGTGACTGTAAAGAATTTGGGATTAATAATGGATGGTACACTGAGTTGGGCACCTCAATTTCAGACTATTAGTCGTAAGTTGTATGTTTCTGCAGCTTCTTTAAGGAGACTATGTAATTTAATACCTACTGCCACTAAAGACGCTGACACTTGCTATCTTGATATTACGGATGATCAGCTAAATAAATTTGAGCATCTTCAGAATTTTTGAATAAGGCTCATATTTGGTCTTTGCAAATATGACCAAGCTCAAGTGGCTTCTTATTCATCTTCGCCGGAATGCTCATATCCTCTTTCTTCTCTACAATATATTGTTTAATCCCACTTACCCTTGCTACCTCAAAAAACGCTCAAGAAACAACATCACACAAAATAATCACCAAATTTTACGATGCTTCTTTCACTGTTCGAGCTGTGCGACTATGGAACTCTCTTTCATTAAACATAAGATCATCACAGATACTGGACTCGTTCAAGAAGGGTGTTAGAGAATTCTATTTTAATTCAGTGGTTGTGTAGCTACAAAAGGATACGATTATTATTATTTATTTTCCTTGTCAGGCTTCTATTACGTATAAATGTATGTACTATTGTATAATTATATAATTAATTATAAAATATAATTCATTGAGTTAAATATATATGAGTATTTAGTTTTATATATATGTTTTACATGTATTTGTAATTATTTATTTTTATAATAATTTGATTTTATTTTGATACTGTTATTGTGGATCCCTGTCTTATTTTTTTAATAAAATATTTCTCTCCATCCAAAGGTTATGGTTTATGTTTAATTTTCTCCATATTTTTGGTGTATACAATAAAGTGTTATCTATCTATCTAACAAAAGAGTAGTATTTATAGAATTTACTTACTTTATATTAATTTCAAATACATAATGAAGCTTAAAGATAAGCTTATGTTTGATTTCCTTATAGATGGATGAAGAGTCTGCAGCTGTTATAGATCACTTCAACTACGATGCCAGTGACGATGGTGAACACACTAGGATTGTTGTATCTCCTAAGAATATGATCAACTCTCCTACTATTGTTGGATCACAGAACTTACAACCTCTACTCTTTGAAGGCACAGGGCTTATCTTGGATAAAGATAATAATTTGGTTTTGCCAATCCTCACTGCAGATAGTACCGCCTACAGCTATAATCCTAAGAGCCAGGTAGCTTATTTTTTTTAATATGTCTCATTTATTAGTAGATTTATTTTATATGGTGTGTAACTTTGATTTATTTCACACAACAATATGAAAGTTGTAAATGTAACTTTAATAATACAGGTCAAGGAATACCCCCATGCTGTAGGACGAAAGACAGTGCTGATTGCTGCACTTCAAGCCAGAAACAATGCCAGAATTGTTTTCAGTGGCTCACTGTTCTTTTTCTCTGATGAGGCCTTTAACTCCCCTATTTCTAAAGTGCATGTAAGTATCTCATAAAGAAAAGATTGATCTTAAATTTAATGTTTAAATAAATTTAAATTTTTGATATTCATTTGGCTCATCAATCTTTTGTTATAATAAATAGTATTATTAAATTCACTTTGTATACTAAAACCTATTAATATAAGTATTTAACTATTTATTCGCTTATTTATTTTGTATATTATTTTTTTTTCAGGGAGATAAAGTAAAAGCCAACAAGTCTGGTAACAAGGAGCTAGCAATACATCTCAGCCAATGGGCGTTTGGTGAGCGTGGTAGGCTGCGCGTCCGCAATGTGCACCATCACCGCAAGGGTGAAAAAGAATCTTCCAACACATACACCATCACAGACACAGTGGTATGTTTTTAACAAAAGCCTAAAAGTTTTACTTATTGACAATATATTTTATAGCATCTCACAACATTTTATATGAAAGATTCATCTAAACTTTAAATTTACCTATTAAATGTTTCATTCTTTTTTTTTTTTAACATAGGTCTACAGAATTGAAATAGAAGAGTTGAAGAATGGCAAATGGCAACCATTTGATGCCAATGATGTGCAACTTGAGTTTGTTCGCATTGATCCTTTTGTCCGCATCACACTCAAAAAGCAACCAAATGGTGCATATGAAGCTGTGTTTAAGGTGCCTGACGTGTGGGGTGTCTACCAGTTCAAGGTTGATTATGACAGAGTTGGCTACACCAGACTATATCATTCCACACAGGTAACTAAGATTTTTCATTTAATTCCAGAATTTACTAAATATATGAAAAGTTGTTATAGAGAAGATACCTTTATAACAAGTGCAAAAAGTTGTTTCATTTGGAGTTCGAGCCATTTATGTGATGTTACAATTTTATTTATTATTTTGTATAAGTAAATATATCATGAAATATATGTAAAGTCTAAATTTTGTACCTTTTTATGAAAATTGTGTGAATAAATGAGTATAAAATTTAGTATAGTCATGATAACACAATCGAGTAGTGTCTATCTCACATATTTCAAATTCATTTTGCTGTATGTAGTAACCTTTCAAATTGTGGTCCCAACATGTATAAATTTGCCCGTATTTTGTAGTTTGCTTGTATAATTTAGATTTCTACTATGTACAACCTAATCATACTCTCCAGGTGTCTGTGCGGCCGCTGCAGCATACGCAGTATGAACGATTCATCCCAAGTGCTTATCCCTACTATGTGAGTGCTTTCTCGATGATGTTGGGCGTGTTCCTGTTTTCCTTCGTTTTCCTCTACTATAAGGAAGATCCGCCAAAGACAAAGAGTGAATAGGTAGTTTCATAAGGTTATATAAAGTTTGATTGATATTCATAATACAATGCATTGTGTGTAAGAATGTCTGTATCTTTTCTTAATAAATTTACCGTCTAATAAATTGTGTGTTAATTTGTTTGCATTCGTTATCTTGATATTGAATGTGTAAGTAACATTGTTTTCTCCGTCTCCTAAGACTAATCAGTCAATATCTTAGAAAATTACTTAATTAATCGTACACTACGAGAATCCGGTTCGCGGAGTAAGAATTTATTATCAGGTGAAATAATTTATTAATATTTTTTAACATTTTTTAGGAATGTTTTTGATTTCGGTTCGCTGTTTCACTCGACAGGTCAAACAATAGGTATTTTGTGATCACAAAACCTAACCACATAACGTTTTATAAGAATCCCAAGAAATTTTAATATTTTACTTAGACCCTGTGAAAATAGAAATTACATGTTATTATGTAACTAAAACATCATTACCAAAATAACATGAGATACATCCGGCTTGAAGGACCATATTTAACTTATAGTATTCACAAAATAAGAGGTCCTTTTTGACACTTCAAAACTAAGATAAAATATAAATGGGAAATAAATTATTGTGAAGTGAATTAATAAAAAAGGTAGCATATTTTAAAATAAAAGTGTTGCTTAGTTGTACGAAATATTATTTCAGTTTAAGCAAATTATAAAAAACATTTTTTTATTTACTAAGTAACGTTCCAATAACAGTCAAGTCCTCGATACCACAGACTAATAGAAAATACTGCTCGATCCTTTGGACATAAAAAAAAAACTACATATTGTTAGTAGTTTTTTTTTCTTAAAAAGAGTGTCGTGACCTAGTTAATCGTGTACTTTCTCATACATTATTGGGTTGACATAATGAATATTTATGCTTTTAATATGTTTTGTGTATGAAAATTACGTACTATTATATCTGTCATGTTACATCAAATTTGAGTTGAAGTTATTTACCGTCACTGCAAAAATACTTATTTGATTTAAATATTGATAAAAGAAAAAAAAAGATAATTAGTAAAATGATGTTATTATTTATCTACGAATGAAAAAATAATTTATTACCAACTTTAGTCATTGTTTGCCCTATATTAAGAACATAGTATACTCTGTCAAGAGGTAAATTATTATTATCGATCAAATAAAATAGTGTTTAGTATGGCGCAGTGAGCTATGTGCTAGTTACTAGATCAAATAACATAAGGAAGTGTAACGATGGAGGAGAATGGACCTTAAACTCGATGGTATTAAAATAAAAATGCTACAATTTTGATTCTATTATAAAAATCAATATGATTATAATTTTGAGCTGAAAACAATAAACCATAATTACATGATTAACAGTTTTATTTTATATTTTGCATACTTTAATGTTTGTTTACATTACAGTACCAGAAATCGCGTTAGTTTCAAATGAAATTGCAAAATCGATATACAGTATTTCGACTGTCAAAAATGTTGATATTTGATTATTATTCCTTGTGTTGTTGAACTGAATCAATGTGACTGTTCTTGGGCATACCCAGGAACCACTATTTATTTAGTGCCTAAACCTATCAATAAAGGCAAATAATTTCAAGTATTTGCTTCAAACAAAAAAAACATCTATGCACGCCACAGAAACAAACTGATATCTCATTTTATAATCGGTAATCTGTTATCGAATTTGTTTGTTGTGTCACTTTTTATGATCCGATGATATGTGTCAAAAGGGACCTCTTATTTTGTGAAGACTAGGCGTCGTTCAGTTTAAGGACCACAAATTAATAAATAAATGCAAGCTACTGAGTACCGGCCAAAAATAAACTGCAAATAGCGATCACAACCAATTTTTTGATGTTGGTGTTTGCAGTTTGTTAGCCAACCGTGTGGAGCCACCATAATAGTTCGTAATGAGGAAGTATTTATGAAAAAAAAAAGAAAGCACTAAAAAGCACGTCACTAGATGGCGACTCTAGCAAAGTTGATTTTTACAGGAAACTAATGGACCAAATATAGTAATTTCCGTTAACACTTTTTAACTTACATATTAAAACATTTAAATTTGCAAAGTTCGAAACTTAGATATCAATACAAATATGAAAAAGTTATGTTACAGTAAGTGTAATAGGAATAAATTATATTGATCCTTTTTTTTATTTCATAATGGTTAATTTGTTGATAGTAAATATACGTGGCACTTATTATTAGAAATTTCACTACGCCTGACTAACCTATGAATTCAGTCAAGAAATCTAAACACACTGTTTTCTGCTTCAATAATAATTACATAGTGCAATGCTATGAGGATTGCTGATACCACAGTATTCCACTTAACGACATAATATTGCATTATGATGGAAATGTCAACGCTGCACAACGTGACCGCTGCACATGCATCGCCGAGAACCCCCCGCACACCTCCGACGTCGCATGCCTTCCTTTGGAGGCCACTTCGGTTCACACTTCGAACTTAGAAAGTCAATTAATTTTATTTCAATTATAATTGTAATTTTTCCTTTAATAAATAGTTTTAAATTTAAAATCGTTTTTTTTTTCGATCTTACGGCTGCACCCTTCGTAATTGGCGCAGTCGGTAGGATATTCGCGGTCGGTTTCGGGCTACTTAGAGAAGATTTCCGTACGCACGAGCCGCCCGAGTGGCTTTCAAGTCGCGCCGAATATCCGAACCTGAAGGAGCAGCCAAGAGGAATCCGGACATCGATTCAGAAAAAGGGCCGATTATGTTACTGTAAGTACACTAAAGAATTGTCTTTGGTTTGCTAAAATAATAGTGAAATAGATTTTAGTATATAATTGTGCTTATATATCTATCAAGATTTTTCATCCTAGGAAAATCTCTCACAGCGAGTCTGTATCGCAGCAGTCTCGTCGACAATTAGTAGATTCACGTAGATATAGTTTAGATAGTATAGATATTCAGCCAGAAATGTCTTTACCACATTATGACCCGGATGTCATTTTCAAGTCCTTACGTATGGTACCTGATTTTGACGGGAACCCGAATGTTTTAACCCGATTCATTAGACTTTGTGACCAGTTAGTAGAAACTTTTACAGTTCTTGATGGGCCAGGAGCCGCATTAAATAACTTGTCTCTTATAAATGGTATTTTAAATAAAATTACTGGGAGCGCAGCCAGAACTATTAATTCGAATGGTATACCAGAGAATTGGCTTGGCATAAGATCTGTTCTAATAAATAATTTCTCTGATCAAAGGGACGAAACGGCACTCTATAATGACTTGTCGATGCAGACGCAAGGCAATGATACCCCCCAGGAGTTTTATGATAGATGCCAGACACTTTTTAGTACGCTCATGACCTACATAGCTTTGCACGAGAATATACCTACTACGATCGAAGCAAAACGCGATCTATATAAAAAACTTACATTGCAGGCATTTGTAAGAGGGCTAAAGGAGCCATTGGGCTCTCGTATTCGTTGCATGCGTCCAGGGAGTATCGAAAAGGCCCTGGAATACGTTCAGGAAGAATTAAATATTATGTATCTCTTGCAAAGGAATGAAGGCCTACATACGAGCCATTTAAAGTTACTAACGTACACGCTACGAGTAGAAATAGCCATTCGATAACAATATCATGTTCACAAATAAAATTAAACATTCAATCCGGACAACAGACGAAATTCCAGTTTATACAAAGAGTTATAGATATCCGTTTGTTCATCGAAAGGAAGTCAACGACCAAATAAATAAAATGCTAGAACAAGGAATCATTCGTCCTTCCGATTCTGCCTGGAGCTCGCCGATTTGGGTCGTACCAAAGAAAGCTAACGCTTCAGGTAAGCAAAAATGGCGTATAGTTGTCGACTTTAGGAAACTAAATGAGAAAACTATCGATGACAAATACCCCATCCCGAATATAACAGATGTCCTTGACAAATTAGGGAAGTGCCAATATTTCACCACATTAGACCTCGCATCAGGGTTCTACCAGTGCGAAATGAATCCTGAAGATATCGCGAAAACTGCGTTCAACGTAGAGCACGGCCACTATGAATTTTTGAGAATGCCTATGGGACTCAAAAATTCACCATCTACCTTTCAAAGGGTGATGGATAATGTGCTCCGTGGTCTACAGAATAGCATTTGCCTAGTCTACCTGGACGATATTGTTGTTTTTAGTACCTCCCTTCAGGAGCACATGATCAACTTAGAAAAGGTATTTCAGAGACTTAGGGAATCGAACTTCAAAGTCCAAATGGATAAGTCTGAGTTCCTTAAGCTCGAGACCTTAACCTTAAGAACCAAACCCGGATAAAATCACAGCTATACAAAATTACCTTATACCAAAAATTCCGAAAGAAATTAAGCAATTCTTAGGATTGGTAGGCTATTATCGTAAGTTCATACCAGATTTCGCCCGTATAACTAAACCGATGACTGTATGTTTAAAAAAAGGTAGAAAAATTACTTTTAACCAAGAATACGTAGACTGTTTCGAAAAATGTAAGACTTTACTGACTAATGATCCTGTATTACAATATCCTGATTTTACCAGAGAATTCTTATTAACGACAGATGCATCAAACGTGGCTATTGGAGCTATTTTATCTCAAGGTACAGTTGGTTCAGATAAACCTATCTCATTCGCGTCTCGTACTTTAAACGAAAGCGAGTTGAATTATAGCACAATAGAAAAGGAACTTCTTGCCATTGTTTGGGCAACGAAGTATTTCCGACCCTATCTTTTTGGCCGTAAATTCAAAATTTTAACGGATCATAAACCACTACAGTGGGTTATGAGCCTTAAAGAGCCCAATGCTCGATTGACGCGCTGGCGGCTTAAACTTAGTGAATTCGACTTTACAGTAATTTAAAAAAAAAAGAAAACATAACACTAACGCAGACGCCTTGTCTCGCGTTGAAATCTGTAATGAGGAAACTAGCTCCATTGCTGTTAATCCAACAGAACGACAACCATCCTTAGAAGGATCTAACACTATGACCGCTCATACTGACCAAGAAAACCCCATATTAGAGATTCCTATAACAGACGAACCACTTAATAAGTTTCACCGACAAGTACACCTGACTATTGTAGGTGACATAAAAAAACGACCTACGG